TTTCCCTACCTGCAGCAGCTTGAAGCGTGAGGCTGGCACAATGAAGTGTCTGTTCTGTTTCTTGGTGCAAATGCTGCAGCTGTAAAAGTTGGGAAAAGAGCTTTTCAGCAGGCAGCTCCCGACCTGCCAGGCAGTATTCACAGCCAGCCCGGAGCACGTGGCAGGGGGGATTCTAGGGACAAAATCAGTGTTGCGGTGATAGAAGTGGGCAAGCTGCACCTCTGGTGTGTGCACTGCGTGTGCACGTGCGTGGCCTGGACTACAGTACTACAGGGAAGCAAGGTTATCTGCACCAAGGGCTAGGCACCATTTTCTCTCCACACACACAGTTAGTTCTCCGGACATATCAAGGACATGCCGCAGCCTGGACAAATACATCTAACCTTTCAGACTAGAGTTTGCCAACTTCATCCAAATGCACCAAGATTAATTGATTGGGAGACGTGATACATGGGCTCTGCAATGATAGCTGAGCTGGCATGGAACGAACGGGGAGTCTGGTGAAAGCAGAAAAGCCTGTCAGGCCTGACACATGAGCAGAGCTTTGGCAAGAGGAAGCCAGGAGAGGATCATGCCGTACGTCCTTGAGGGCACCTCATTTGGATGGAACAGAAAACTGCACTTGGGATCATTGAAGCCCCCTTGGCACTTTTCATGTGAGTCTGGGAATAGTAGCTAAATGCCGTGGGGGCTTTGTACTCTGCCCCTCTCAGAGCCTCTGCAGGTTTCCGGATGTGACGTCCTTTGCTCTATCGTGCCAAGGACCTGATGGTTTTAAATAGCTGCTGGGCTTTACACCAAACGTGGCTGCATTTTATTAACGAGGGAGAGCAGCTCCTATATGTAATAGCAAGCCTGTAAGATGCTTCCAGGTGAGATGTTCTGTATGCGTGCGAGATGTTATTAACACTGAACACAGCATCATACTTTGTGCTTGTTTAGCACCTTCTGGGTCCAAATCTCAACCTCATTTTCACAAATACGAATGTATTTAGCTTCACAACATCCCTGCGGGGTATGGAAGCATTATGGCCTCCGCTGCGTGGCTGTGGGAACAATGATACAGATGCACCGCTTTCCCAGGATCACAGAGGTTTCTGATTACCCCTGTCGTGGTTGTAGGCTGTGTAATAAAACTCATTAGGGCTTTCCAAATAGACACACTCTGTAGTGCTCTGAGGTTTCTCTCTGCATCCAGCAGGTCCCTCTGCATGTGCGGACCCGCAGTCAGCGGCATTGTTCTCGTGGATTCAGCGGAGCCCGGATTGGGGCTGCAGTATTCTGGTGCATTTTAAAAACAGGGAATGTCTCTGAGTTTCCTCTGTGTTCCTGGGAGGCCCGTGCATTTCTGGATCACCTGAAGGCTCTCCCCTTCTTGGTTAAGGCTCCCTGTTGTCACAGCATGCTCTTCTCCACCCCCCCCATTCTGTCTGCAGGTATCCAACACCTTGTCCTCTCCCTGACACCTGCAGTTTTTGCCATTGCCTTATTTGTTCCTCAGAGGAAAAAGTGACCAGGAGACATCCCCACCTGCTGCCCCTCAGTCCCCTCCCTGCTCTGGTGCTCAGTGCTCTGTACAGTTGCAGAATCAGCATCTGAAATCATCAGTTCTGGGAAGCAAAAGGCACTCACTTGCAGTCAAACACATGCAGATCTGCGGATGCCCAAACCTCAAAGCGGACAGCTCCGCAGTGACAGCCTCCGGCATGCTTCACCAGGCCACGGTATTCGCTAGGTGGGGAAAACACACACACAGCACGTTCACGATTGACCACTGGCCCAGGAAACTGGGACTTCACAGAGCAAGAGTCTGTTCCGCTTTGGGCACCTACAAACACTGGTGTAACCTGCTCAGATTATTTACCGGGGGCCGAAGTGAGGCAGAACAAGGCTTGCTTTCCCCCACAATGTGTGGTGCCCGCAGTTGTGGTTTTGGTGAAGAGCAGGGAAGGTAGGAGCCTGTAGTGTGAACAGCATCTAGGAAATAGGCCGTGCACTTGTTTCCAAATGTACTTGAAGCCTTAGAGCTGCCCTTGAGGATTCTGCCCCATGCCTTTCTCTCTCCTCTACGGACCTCTCCATGGTCACTGCCAAATCAAATGAAGTCCTTTAATATTTCCAGTGACCTGCACAGACCACTGGTTCAGATTTATTCCTGGGGATACTAAATGATAGCTGTATGACACACATGTTCACAGGAGACAGCAGAAGTAGCACAAGGGCTGGGCAGAAAGATCAAAATATGAGTCTGGTGGATGTTTTGCTGCAGACGGCAGCAAAGAGCAGGACGGGGGCGTTTTTAAACCCGTCCCTTCGACGTTCCTGGAACCCGAGAGGGTCGAGCACAAGTCGCCCCAGATTCAGCGGGGAGAAAAATCAACTTCCTCGTGGCTCAACAGAAGCCAGCATTTCGTGCTATAAAAATGTGACAAGGGGAACAATCCACCGCCAAGGCAATGGGGAGGAGGCAGTGCTTCTGGGCTGAGAAACCACAGACAAAAATAGTAGTGAAGCCACCTGGACAGCGATTAATTTGCCTGACTATATCCCTGTGCGCACTCCACACTCTCTGTGGCCCTAAATCTGACCCCCAAGGCCAAGATGTCTGTCCCTGCACAGCTGCAGTACACGTCTGGGTGCACTGCACGGCTGGCCCGCAGGGGCCCGGGGCAGCCGCCTCCCGCTCCCCGCGGCCCTTCCTGCCTGCCAGCCCGTGCCTGCAGGCGCTGCCCCGCTCCTTGCCTGTGCCTGGAGGGTGGCCGGGGGCAGGGCAGCGGGCTCTGTCGCGGGCCCTCCCCGCGGGGCTCGCA